GTAGTCACCAACACAGCAGTCATCTACACAGTAGTCACCAACACAGCAGTCATCTACACAGTAGTCACCAACACAGCAGTCATCTACACAGTAGTCACCAACACAGCAGTCATCTACACAGTAGTCACCAACACAGCAGTCATCTACACAGTAGTCAGTTTCACAGTAGTCAGTTACATACTAGTCAGTTACATAGTCAGTTACATAGTAGTCAGTTACATAGTCACCTACACAGTTACACAGTTACACAGTATTCAGTTACACAATAGTCACCTACACAGCAGTCACACAGTTACACAAGTCACCTACACAGCAGTCACCTACACAGTACTCAGTTACACAGTAGTCAGTTACATAGTCACCTACACAGTAGTCAGTTGCAGTCACCTACACAGTAATAAGTTGCACAGACACCTACACAGTAGTCACACAGACACCTACACAGTAGTCAGTTACACAGTAGCCGCCTACACAGTAGTCAGTTACACAGTAGCCGCCTACACAGTAGTCAGTTACAAAGTAGTTACCTACACAGTCACTTGCACAGTAAGTTACACAGTAGTCACCTACACAGTCACCTACACAACCACCTACACAGCCACCTGCACAGTCATCTACACAGTAATCACCTACACAGTAAACACCTACACAATCACCTACACAGTAGTGACAGTAGCCCTCCAAAACCCTCTTCAGGTAAACTCCAGGTAAACACAGTAGTCACCTACACAGTCACCTACACAGTAGTCACCTACACAGTAGTCATATATACAGCCACCTACACAGTAGTCACCTACAGTCACCTACACTGTAGTCACCTACACAGTAGTCATATACACAGTCACCTACACAGCAGTCACCTACAAGCTGGCACTGGACAAGCACCTAAAGTCAGTTCCGGATCAGCCGGGCTGTGGCTCGTATGTTGGTTTGCGTGCAGCCAGCAGCAACAGCCTGGTTGATCAGGCTCTGATCCACCAGGAGGCCTGGTCTCAGACCGGGCCGCGGGGGCGTTGACCCCCGGAACTCTCTCCAGGTAAACTCCAGGTAAACAGTATTCACACAGTCACCTACACAGTATTCACACAGTCACCTCCACAGTAGTCACCTACAGTCACCTACACAGTAGTCACCTACACAGTCACCTACACAGTAGTCACCTACAGTCACCTACAGTCACCTACACAGTCACCTACACAGTCACCTACACAGTAGTCATCTACAGTCACCTACACAGTAGTCACCTACACAGTCACCTACAGTCACCTACACAATAGTCATATACACAGTCACCTACACAGTAGTCACCTACACAGTCACCTACACAGTAGTCACCTACACAGTCACCTACACAGTTACCTACTCAGTAGTCACCTACACAGTAGTCACACAGTTACCTACACAGTCACCTACACAGTAGTCACCTACACAGTCACGACAGTAGTCACCTACAGTCACCTACACAGTTACCTACACAGTACTCACCTACTCAGTAGTCACCTACACAGTAGTCACCTACACAGTCACCTACACAGTAGTCACTTGCCTAGCATGAGTCACAGACTCATGCTAGGCAGGTTCAACTCACACTGTAGTAGGTCTACTGGCCTATGCTAGGCAGGTCCAACTCACACTGCAGTAGGTCTACTGGCCTATGCTAGGCAGGTCCAACTCACACTGCAGTAGGTCTACTGGCCTATGCTAGGCAGGTCTAACTCACACTGTAGCAGGTCTAGTGGGACATGCTAGGCAGGTCCAACTCACACTGTATTAGATCTACTGGCCCATGCTAGGCAGGTCCAACTCACATGGCAGTAGGTCTACTGGCCTATGCTAGGCAGGTGTCACTCACACTGCAGTAGACCTACTTGCCCATGCTAGGCAGGTCCAACTCACACTGTAGCAGGTCTAGTGGGACATGCTAGGCAGTTCCAACTCACACTGTATTAGATCTACTGGCCCATGCTAGGCAGGTCCAACTCACACTGTAGTAGGTCTAGTGACCCATGCTAGGCAGGTCCAATTCACGCTGTAATAGGTCTACTGGCCCATGCTAGGCAGGTCCAACTCACATTGCAGTAGGTCTACTGGCCTATGCTAGGCAGGTGTCACTCACACTGCAGTAGGCCTACTTGTCCATTGTAGGCAGGTTCAACTCACACTGTAGTAGGTCTACTGGCCCATGCTAGGCAGGTCCAACTCACACTGCAGGTCTACTGGCTCATGCTAGGTAGGTCCAACTCACATTGCAGTAGGTCTACTGGCCTATGCTAGGCAGGTGTCACACTGCAGTAGGCCTACTTGCCCATGCTAGGCAGGTCCAACTCACACTGTAGCAGGTCTAGTGGGACATGCTAGGCAGGTCCAACTCACACTGTAGTAGGTCTAGTGACCCATGCTAGGCAGGTCCAATTCACGCTGTAATAGATCTACTGGCCCATGCTAGGCAGGTCCAACTCACACTGTAATAGGTCTACTGGCCCATGCTAGGCAGGCTCAACTCACACTGTAGTAGGTCTACTGGCCCATGCTAGGCAGGTCTAACTCATTGCAGTAGGTCTACTGGCCCATGCTAGGTAGGTCCAAATCACACTGCAGTAGGTCTGCTGCCCCATGCTATGTAGGTCCAACTCACACTGCAGTAGGTCTACTGGCCTATGCTAGGCAGGTCCAACTCACACTGCAGTAGGCCTACTTGCTCATTCTAGGCAGGTCCAACTCGCACTGTATTAGGTCTACTGCCCATGGTAAGTAGGCCCAACTCACACTGTAGTAGGTCTACTGGCCCATGCTAGGCAGGTCCAAGTCACACTGTAATAGGTTAAGTGGCCTATGCTAGGTAGGTCTAACTCACACTGTAGTAGGTCTACTGGCCCATGCTAAGCAGGTCCAATTCATGCTGTAATAGGTCTACTGGCCCATGCTAGGCAGGTCCAACTCACACTGTAGTAGGTCTACTGGCCCATGCTATGCAGGTCCAACTGACATTGTAGTAGGTCTAGTGGCCCATGCTAGGCAGGTTCAACTCAAAACTGTAATAGGTCTACTGGCCCATGCTATACAGGTCCAACTCACACTGTAGTAGGTCTTCTGGCCTATGCTAGGCATGTGAAGAAATTTTCTCCAGAAGGGGGATATCAGCCCTTTTCAGCCCTGAGGGGCCCAGCCCTCTCAGAAGGGGCAAGCATCTTGTTTACTTCCAAATCAAGTAATTACAAGCAGATGTTTAACCAGTGTGTACCAGTCGTAGGTCATGTGACTCCTTGCAAGAGACCAGTGTTGGAACCAGTGAGAGCTGACGAGAGTAATCTCTGTACCGCAACGGGATAGGTGCAGGGAAACTTCTACCTCACTTTATTCACATATGGGACATAATGAACTCTAAGTGATTGAGACTTATTTCGAAATCAAGAATTCTGCTTTGCTTCCTGGTGGAAGTTTGGCAAGCAGGGGAAGTATACTCTGTCAGCCTTTCCTTTGTAGCTGGGGGAAAGCGAGGTGCGACGATGGACATTATAGCTCAAATGACTTTTAACCCTTGTGATGAATGGTTTGAAAAACCGACAAGTTGAAGATTGAGACACTTATGCAGCATATGGGTATCTTTATTCAGGAAACGTTTCGCCACACAGTGGCTTCATCAGTCCAATACAAAGAGGAAGGAGTAAGGAGAGGAGGAGTATGAGGTAATCAGTCCCTCAGCCTGGAGTCGATGTGTTCAGTCCATCAATCTTGTAGAATGTACAGCATAGGGCCGTAGACGTGGCTTATATACTGTAGTGAGGTGAGGTGAAGCAGGTGGAGGCGGGGTCATAGTGGTACCATCCACTAGTCGAAGTAGGTCTTCGTCCAAAGGTTGAACAAGATACCCATATGCTGCATAAGTGTCTCAATCTTCGACTTTTAACCCTGCCAAGGGAAACATTAATGCCAGGATAATGAATAAAGAACACTGATCCACGCGTTTTTGTACATAAAAGTATCTCAATAGACACAGCAGATACAGAGAAGTGTAAACAGCTTCTTTAGTGATAAGACTGAATAATAAACAATACTTGATAAACAGAGTGTAACAACGAGTGTTGCGATGCTGACGAGTGTAGTGTGACATTCTTCAAAGAATACGTCTGCTTCAATCAAGACACCGATACCCGAGTTCAATATGTGTCCGATACAGATACCCAGGTAGGTCTAGTCATGAATGTTACTAGTCAGATCAGCTGCACAGCAGATAGCTAGTTCATTCGTCTCTGGATGTACCGTACACTCGGTTATAGGTGTGCTTTTTAGCCCATCACAAGTAAGTATAGATTCCCATCAGTATTCAGTTACTGAAATACTGACACAACACCCTCTAAGGGTAATTATACTTATACAACATTTTTTCACACAGCTCTTAGGGAGCGCATACGACAACTTCTCAAGACATCGCCTTCAGGGACGGCTGTGTAGGTGAGAGCTGTCTTTCAAGATAAGTCCCATTACATTCCATTATTTACTCTCTGAATTAGCTTGTAGCATTTCCCTAAAAAGGCAGGTCCAACTCACACTGTAGTAGGTCTACTGGCCCATGCGAGGCAGGTCCAACTTATACTGTAGTAGGTCTAATGGCCCATGCTAGGCAGGTCCAACTCATACTGTAGTAGGTCTACTGGCCCATGCTAGGCAGGTCCAGCTCACACCCATGTAGTCCTCCAGCTTACATTTATACCTACCCAGAGCTGTCACTTGTTTATGCAGTTAATTGTTATAATCATTAAGTTCTAAACCCATAATTAAGCTGAAAAAATACGAACAGTCTGTATTTTTTTAAATACATCTGCTGTAATTGCACGTCATTTAAATTTCGAAAATTAACATTTGGAAATTATTTTGAGAACTAACGTGTAATTTTTTTTTTTTTTTTTTTTGCACACATTTAAGCTGTTTTCTGTTTTTGCACAGTAATGGAGAGGCTCAACTAGGATAAGATTGTTTATGTTCCTTATTTTTTGTTTCAGGTGCTGGTCCAGGTGATGCATTCCACTCTGAGTTGGTGTTGCTTGACGTTTGGGTGAAGGTGATGGTAGGTGAAGCACCTGCATCGCAAGGTGCTTCACCTGTGTTACAAGATGGCTCACCTGCCTCACCAGACAGTTCACCTGCCTCACCAGACAGTTCACCTGCCTCACCTGACAGTACCATCGTCCACCACTTGGTGGCAAAGTTCTACAGTTTGGATTTAATGAATCGCGAGATAGACAAGTGGATGAATACCGGCCAGAAGGAATACTTGATATATACAAAGATAATTAAAGAACTCAACGAGTTCCAGGCAGACAGAGCCCCTGACGAGCCTGGAATATCCATCCCACATTTGATCTATGGACGATGTGCTGGTAATGAAAATGTTTTACTAATGGAAAACATAAAAATCCAGGGATACAACACTGTTGACAAGCGTAAGGGGCTGGATTTTGAGCATCTTAAGGTATGTATAGAACACATTGCCAGAGTTCACGCCCTTTCACATGCGTTCTATAAGGAGAAAGATTTCCGTGGTAAATACCCTTGCTTTCAGTCCACTTCCGAGCAGCTGAAGTTTGTTAAACCAATAGTAGCTGCTGTGATAGATATTATCATTACATTTTTTAGAACTCTGGACGACAAGAAGGATGTCACACGAAGACTTGAAGCATGTAAACAGAATTTATTAGATAAATATTTAGCAATACTGCTGGACGGAGAAAGGATCACATGTTTGATTCATGGAGATTATTGGATTAATAATATAATGTACAAATACAAGAGCCCAGTGGCACAGGCAAGTCATGAGGACTCACAGGCAAGTCATAAGGACTCGCAAATACTTGCAGGCCATGAAGATTCACAGGCAATTCACAAGGACTCGCAGAAAGGCCACAACATCTCAAGGACACTTGCAAGCCAGAGGGTCTCCCAGGCACATGAAAGCCATCAAGAAATCGAAGCATTAAAAATCATTGACTGGGGCAACAGTATCTGGGGCAATCCAGTGTTTGATCTACAGTATCTCCTCTACACGTCCACTACTCGCACTGTCAGGAATGCTCATCTAGATCACCTGCTGCACCTCTACCATTCTACCTTCACTAAGCTTGCTGCTAAGATGGGCTCACCTGCTGCCAGCTGGAGCTACGAACAATTTGAACTAGACTGGGAGAGGGCTTTCACTGTAGGGTTCTTCCTTGCCTGTATTACGAGTTTAGGAACACTGAGCACCAGTAATCCTGTCAAAGCACCACAGCCTTCATGCCTAGACAAGTCTTTTCTCTTACCAGTCAAAGTAGTTGTTGATGGCATAAAGCTAGGAATGGTAAAGTTATTTATCCCTTTTCTTCAAAAGCCAATTGGAGAGTTTCTCATTAAAAATGCATTTCACCACACATTTAAGCCCATGCTTGAAGAACTATGTTCTGGTCAGAATGAAATTCTGAACACGAGACTTACTGACCTCATTTGTGAGGCTGATGAAAAGGGGATTTTCTCCACAGAATCAGTCATATCTGAGTGAAACGACGACGAGTGTGCTCCCTGAAAAAGACCCCATAATCAACCCACATTCACATCAGTGATTATTGCTTCATGTTCCTCAATTCTGCCATTTAAACTGCAGGTGGTTCTCGACTTACGATGGTTAGGTAAGATTTGCCAAGAAATAGGACAAGTGTTTCCTGATGTGGGTTTTAATCAAATGATGACCTGCCATTTGAGCTTTTGGTCATGTGACTGAGGCCTTCCACTGGCTTATCGGTCCACCCCCTTTAAAAAAACGTGGTCATAGTTATAATCATTTAGTTTTACTTATGGTGGGGTTACATTCTGAAGAACCCATCGTAAGTTGAAAATATCGTAAGTAGAATACAGATATGTTACAAAAATAATTCTAAGTATTAATGCATCTACCATTTCCTATCAAGGAAGGGTGACCCAAAAGAAAGAAGAAACACTTTCATCATCATTCACTCCAACACTGTCTTCCCAGAGGCATACCTACATGATATAAATAACTACTGCCACTAAATAAATGAACAAGTAATTACTGTAACTGAATATCAGTACTGGAAATAAAAGAACACAAGTTCCTCTGACAGTAATAAGTGAACAATACAGAACATACATCACTATTACACCATCAAAAAGTCAAAATATAAAGCAAGGAGCAACTGTATTAGAGTGAACCTCAGTCATGTCAATGATCATTATATTCACGTCAGTGGTCCTCTTCAAGGGGGGCTCCTTGGCGTGGTGAAGAGGCTCTTGGTCTGAGGAATTAGACCTATCAGTCTTCTTCCTCAGACCGAACCTAATTACCCCCCAATCTCCCCTCCCCTATCCCATCCTCCTCTCCCTTGTGGCTTAGCGCTTCTTTTTGATTATAATTATAATTATAATTATAATTATCCCATCCTCCCCATCCTCCCCTTTTTCCTTTCCTCCTCCTCCTCCCCACCCCTCCCTTTTGCCCTTCCTCTTTTTGTCCTTTGGGATTTCTCCCACAGGCGCGCTAGTTCCTAGGTAGGGGAAAGGATACCGGGGTCCATCCCATTCTGTTGAGGTTCTTAGTGGTGGCGTAGTTTGCCGTGGAATCTGGATCGCCTGGGATGTCCCAATCCCTCTACAGTATCCCGGAGTAGCTTTGGGTGTCTTATCGGGGGGCGTGTGTATCTCTGGAAGCCTCCTTTCGGATTCCGGGCGGGTGGTGGTCGAAGGAGGTATGATTTGTGGCGGGATATCCGGCAGCCCTCTCTTTTGTCCACCGAGGTAGCTCGGGCAGATGTGTAAATAAGGGGTTGCCTATCCCGATTGTTTTGGAGTTTACTAGCTGATGGGTAGGGTATGGCACGGGTTCATGCTGACTGCTTCTGCGCTAACTTGCGGTGCTGAGGTCCTCATTGGGCGCGGTGGGAGTTTTGGCCCTTTCATTCTCCTAGTATCGATCACCTTCCCGCCGGGGTCCCCCTTTTTTTGTTCTTTTTTTTTTTATTGTTATTTTCTTTTTTCTTCTTTCCTTTTTTTTTTTGCTTAAAAACCAACAAAAGAAAAAGAAGAACCTAACCATGGCCAGCCCTAGTCCAGAACTCTGCTACCCACGGGCCCCTTTCTTCATACGCACCCCGGGTTCTGACCTCCCGCCTCATTTTTAGTCCACTCTGCAGACTACTCCTCATGCCCTGTTCTACTTGCCGGTGCTGTTTCCTCACCCGCTTCAGGTACTGAAGGCCCTCGACTGACTCCTTTCGACTTTTCAGACCTTCGCTTCTCTGCTACGGCTTCCGGCCCTCTCCTCTACGGTGCGGCAATTTTCAAATCGCCGACACGTACCACGTCGGTACAACTCTGTTACCCACGCCCTAAACGCAACAGACAATTACCTGTGATGATATTCTCCACCTTCTGTTTCTTCTCAGGAAAATCGATCGACACGTTCCTTCACTACCTTTCACGCTCAGTTTTCAGGATCGTGAAACAAATTGGATAAATTCTTCACTTTATGACCTAACTTCTCTACTGCCTAATCTTTTGACCATGTGTATTGGCAGGCACTTCCTACGCCATGTTGGTTTCTAGATATTCTTTTCATGCTCTTAGAGTGGTTGCACATCAGTCACTGTACAGGTAAGCTATCCACAGGCTCAGAGCTCTATCGTTCTTTCCCATTTCGATACTGTTCATGTCACTCTTTTGAAATAAATCATTCCCTCAATTCATTGTAGTGGTACCGTCATTCTGCCTCCACATCACCATAGTTCTACAAAACTTTCCAGACAAGAGGAAATGACATCTCTTCGTGAACAGCTGGTACTCCAGATCTTCCCAAACTCATGGTAGGACACCTTACGGTCTTCATGACCTGTGGGCGGGGAAAAAAGACGATAACCATAGCAATGTGGCTCGTTTCAACTTTTGACAGACGAGAACTCTCATCCTCAGTTTATATTGAAGGCTCATCGGTTACAAGTTCGAAAGGTGATCCTACACCACACAGTGTAGAGAATATGCTTGGCGATTTGGCCCATCCAGCGAAATATTGAGTATAATCGCCGAATGCCCAGTTGTGGTGCTGAATGACACATCTAGTAGTTTGAAAGCGAATCTCACCCTATTGCCCTTTACTGTCATGACGGCTCTAACCTTTCGTACTCTGACGTTGTCATGTCCGATGTTTAACACGAGCGAGCGAAATCCCGTGTTCCTCAAAAGAGACATGAAGGTTCTCCCTTATGCATGGCAGTTTCTCATCTCAGCCCTCCAGGAGACTCCCACGTGTTTCTTATTCCCGTGTTTCAAATCGTCCCCCACTTTGTTATTCCTCTTCATACCCCTCACCTCTGTGGTTCCTCTCACTTAATCACCCCTGTATCTAATCCTTTTGCTGTCCTCGGCTCAGACGTCCCTACTTCAACGCCTCAGTCAAATCTCGCTTCTTCGAGTTCTCTCTCACAAGCCTCAGTACGACGAGACCTCATACGACACCTCCTCCCAATCGTCCCTCTACTTCTCAAAAGTCAAAAAAAGGTCCTTTTAACACCTATCTACCCATCTTCCACCTCCTCTTTTTTACCCTCCCTGTCTCTGTCCCTGGTTTTTTCCCCTCTCACTGGCTCAGTTACAAGTGTAGAGCTTCACCCTCCTCCTCGTACTGTACCTTCCCCCCCTGTTCCCTCCCAAGTTTCTTCCCTTTTTCTGCCACCTTTCCCAGGTTCCTGCCTCTTCTGCCCCCTGCCACGTTTTCTCCAGTTCCTCCACCCTTTCGCCCCCCCCCCTTACCTTGGACAGTCCAATACAGTTCCAATCTTTACTCATCCTCCCCCTACCATTCCCAATATTGTCTCCCATACGACATCTCTGAATTCCGAAACACTTGAAGCAATCTCTGAATTTTATTGCAGAGACCAAACCCAATAAATGGACACTGATCCACCTTCCCGCTCTTCTCTCTCCTCTGCTCCATCTGCGCAACTCCTTTCTTCACAGCGCACCGTTCCTTCGCTGCTTGAACGTGGACTTTTCTAACCTCTCTAGTCCGTAGGAACCCTTACCTGTGGATTTCAAGTATCTTTATCATTGCCAATCATGGCCTATTTAAAGTGGAATATACGCAGCCTCAGGGGTAATCGGGTGAGCTTCAGATGTTACTCTCCCAGTTTGCCCCTGTTGGTGTTTGCTTACAGGAACCAAAATTACACTCTGCTGTTATTTCACCCATCTCAGGCTATAATTTATTGTATTCTTCAGATCCTTTTCCTGATGGGGCCTTTAATGAAAGTGCCCTTCTTCTACGCACTGATATTCCTTACCATCAGCTATGTTTTTCATACTTTGCTGCATTACACAGCAGGGCCCGTATCCACTTACATAGGTGGTATACGCTCTGTTCTTTATATCTCTCTCCTTCTCAGGCATTATCTATTCCCGGAATTTTTCCTTCCTTGTTTCGTTTTTACCGCCACCGATTCTGTTACTTGGTGATTTTAATGCCCCCCCATTTCCTCTGGGATGGGTCTCACTGTGATTCCCGTGGAATTCAGTTAAAGGCTTTTCTTGCCACCCACCCCCTCCATGTTTTAAATACAGGTACTCACCCATTTTGATCCTCGGACTCATACTCTCTCTTGCATCGATCTCTCAGTCTGCTCTTCCTCCACCGCATTAGACTTCACTTGGTCTGTTCTCCCGGACTTACATGACAGTGATCATTTCCCAATCATTCTTACTTCCCCTACATATTCGCCACCTCTTTGCACCCCACGCTGGCAATTTAATCGGGCAAATTGGAACCTTTACTCACACCTAACTGTTTTTAAAGGGGTTCCTTCTTCGTCCTCCATCGATGAGCTTTTACACCTCTTCTTGTCCTCCGTTTTCACCACAGCTTCTCATTCTATACCCCAAACTTCGGGCAGGCATTCTCAGAAATGCGTGCCTTGGTGGTCTCCTGCTTGTGCTCGTGCAGTACGTTTGAAACGCACTGCATGGGGCAGGTACCGGTACAATAGAACCACAGAGCGACTCCTTGATTTTAAACAGAAGCATGCGATCGCTCGCCGTGTCATCCGTGATGCTAAACGCACTTGCTGGCGAGATTATGTCTCCACCATCACCTCTGCTTCCTCTATGAGTGCAGTCTGGAAAAAGTACGAAAACTGGGTGGTAAATATTCTCCTGACCCGGCTCCTGTTCTGCGGGTTGCCGGTGTTGATATAGCAAACCCACTAGATGTTGCCAATGAAATTAGCAATCATCTGGTCTGTATTTCTCAGGGGCTCCATCTATGCCCCTCGTTTCTTTTCTCAAAGTCTGCCAGAGAGTTAGCACCCTTGGACTTTTCTTCTCTCGGAGAAGAACAGTATAATGTGCCTTTTACACTTCAGGAACTGGAGGCAACACTCTCAGCTTGCCGATCATCGGCAGCTGGGCCCGACGACATTCATATTCGTATGCTACAACATTTACATCAGTCAGCCCTTGCAGTCCTATTATGCCTTTTCAATCTTATTTGGTCACGAGGAGTTCTTCCACAGCTGTGGAAATCTGCCATTGTTCTCCCTTTCCGCAAACCGGGTACTACGGGACATGAAGCCTCTCACTATCGTCCCATTGCTCTTACCAGTGCAGTTTGCAAAGTGATGGAACGCCTGGTAAATAGACGTTTAGTGTGGTATTTAGAGACACACAACAGTCTCTCCACTCGTCAATATGGCTTTTGTAAGGGTCGTTCTACCATAGACCCCTTACTACACTTGGATACGTATATTCATAATGCCTTTGCGAATAACCACTCAGTTATTGCCATATTTTTTGACCTTGAGAAGGCATATGATACAACTTGGAGGTATAATATTTTGGCCCAAGCCCACTCCTTAGGCCTCTGAGGCAATCTACCATCCTTCCTTAAGAACTTTTTGACTGACATACATTTCCGTGTTCGGGTTAATAATGTGCTCTCCCCGGACTTTATCCAAGCTGAAGGTGTCCCCCAGGGATGTGTTCTGAGCACAACACTTTTTCTCCTTGCTATAAATGATTTGGCCTCTAGTCTTCCATTCAATATTTGGTCATCACTCTATGTTGATGACTTCGCTATTGCCTGTGCAGGCGCTGACTGTCACCTCATTACAGTTTCTCTCCAGCATGCAGTCGACCGTGTTTCCAATTGGGCCACCACACATGGGTTTAAATTTTCCAGTACCAAAACTCGAAAAATTACTTTCACTAGACACTCTGTCATCTCCGATCATCCTTGATACCTCTATGGCACCCGTATACCTGTTCGTGATACAGTCAGGTTTCTAGGCCTCCTCTTTGACCGTAGGTTATCCTGGAAACCTCACATAACCTCTCTGAAGACAACTTGTCACAGCTGGCTGAACCTTCTTAAAACCCTTGCTCATCTTTCATGGAGAGCTGATCGTCGAACTCTCTTTCGCCTACATTCAGCCCTCATTTTATCGAAGCTTGATTATGGTGGCCAGATCTATTCAGTGGCCTCTCCTGCTACTCTCTCTAGCCTTAACCCTGTTCATCACCAAGGATTACGTTTATGCCTTGGTGCTTTTTGCTCTTACCCTGTTGA